AAGAAGAGAGAGATGTGTAATTGTAGGTGTATGTTATTCCACCTCATTGTGCCTTTATTTATAGTAGTAGGAAATGTTAATTCCTTACCCTTTATGATTACAACATTTAATAGGTAATCTACTCCTAATAGGAATATAAGATACATTTCCATATCTACTAGGATTTACACAATCACATTCCTAATCTAATAGGATTGTAACGTGATGATCAAACACAACCTTGTTTATTTTTATTTTTTTAAGAAATGGTGGATAATTTACATTAAATATATTTCAATTATAGAGGGAAAAGAATTGGAATCCGAACACGACATTATTTATTGACTTGATTATTTTATGTATCCAAAATCATTTTTTGTTTGCTATGGTTTTGTTTTTAAGTAAAAAAAAAAATATATTCATTTTGTTCCAAATATGATGAATTTATTAGATTAAAAAGCTGATGGAGTTCGAATTCATACCATGCAAAGACAACACTGTAGTAAAGGGTGATTTGTAAAAATTTTATTCATTTTGATTGTTAGCAAACAAGTGCCTCTTTACTTTTCAAGGCCTGCCTCCAAATACGAATACAATTTAAAATTAAAAAAAGAAAAAACCAAAAATCCCAAATTTTGTCAATCATCGTCGAACTCTTCAAAGTCCACCGTTTCGCTTCAATTCATAAGAACCCTAGAATTGGATTCTCAAATTCCCCATCCAATCGATGCCTGCATTGTTTCAGTACCATGGCGATTGTCCCCTACTGCTAAGTTTCAGGTCAGCCCCCCTAATTGATCTCATAAAAGTTCAATCTTCGCTCGCAATTTTGTTAATTTGTTGATTGACTCTCGTTCCTTTTGGTGAAAAGTTTGTATACGTTAATCACATTTTTAGGGTTTTGATTATGTATATAATTTATTAATTGCATGCTTGATTATTTATTTAGTGATTTATTTTTCTGGGAAGAAATTAAGCTTTTTTGTATGGACTCCAAGTTATATAATTAGGGAAGTTAAAAGCCGGAGCTGAAGTTGATGCTATACAGACCAGATTAATAAAGTTGGAAATTTTATGCAAATTATATATAATTATCACGGATTATCCATTTAAGAAAATTCAAATGGTCTTCTTTTTCGATAAATAAAAACAGAGAACGATAATTTTTTTTTATCATAAGTCAAGTAATTAGGCCATGTTACACGTTAGGTTGGTTGCAAGAGCTTGGAATCATACGATGAACGTAATCAGTAATAATCGTTTGTTATGCTCCTTTTGTTCTTCATCGGTATTTGGTATCTCCATAGTTAGCATTTTGCTTCTTTTGAATTCTCGAAATTTCTGCCGATGTTGTTACATGGATATTGGTAGTCTAAACACTATGTATCTATTTCATACTTGTGCATATGGATGTTTTATGGAAAGTTCTTAGAGCAGTTTGGAATGTCAAATTATTATTTTTAGTACAGGAACGTGATTTTAATTTCCATAGAACTAGTAGCAACAATTTGACATGTAGTGCAAGTTCCTAACCATTGTACTTTTCATCTATTTTTTTATAGGTTTTTTCTTAGTTCCGATTGAAATGGTCTGTAGGAGCTATAGCACTGGCAATGATTGTTTCTTTGTATTCCTGACTCGACATTCTTCGCAATGCAATTAGTACCAAATGATAGTCATAAGGAAGATATTACAGTATGTGAACCCATCTTATGTCAGTCTGACATTTCACAGAGACCTGCAGAATCTTCATCCTCATGTGAAATTACAGCTGTGCTAGGTGATTTTCCTGCTGTTGATGAAGAGGCACAAATTTTTGACGTCAATGAAAATTCTAAGTTGGTCAACGCAGAGCAACCACAGTGTCGTATTTGCCTTGATACTGAAGAAGGTCCTATATGTTTTGCATTTCTCTGTGTATCTTCAGTTTACTGTCACCATTAATTTTTTAATTTAGATGATGTAGAGGATATACATGTGACTTGCTGGTTAAAGTAATTATAGTTCAATACCTTTTCAATCTATAATTATTTGGCGGCTAGGAAATTCAAATATCTTAGCGTTCTTTATTTGTCTTTCAGGGGAAGACTTAATTGCTCCATGCCATTGCAGAGGTACTCAGAAGTATGTCCATAGATCATGTCTTGATAATTGGAGGTCAACAAAGGTGAAGATTTTCTTCATCCCTGCTCTTTCCTTGTGATCTGCAGATGCTTTTTTTATTTTTTATTTTATTTTTAATATTCATTTTAGAATAATGAAATTGCACATAATTGAGGTGAAATTCTTGTTATGTTTATCTATTTTATCTATTTCTTCAAAGGCTGTTTCTTTTGTAGAAGCTTGGTATTAATTATTCATATATTTATTTCTTCAGGAGGGCTTTGCTTTTGCTCATTGTACAGAATGCAGGGCAGTGTTCATATTAAGAGCGAATGTCCCTCCCGATCGCTGGTGGTTGAGATTGAAATTTCAGTTCCTTGTTGCTAGAGATCATGCATTAATTTTCATCATCGTGCAGCTGGTATGTTTACAACAAATTAATGTGATTCATGAATCATATCATTTTATCAAATAGGTAGTTCTTCCCAAATAAAAGAAGTTAGGCATTTTCCGTTAAGTTTTATTCAGCTTGCACAGGCCACAGAAGAATTAATTAGAAACTGAAAGTGTTGTTTGATAGGTTAGCAAGAGTCAGTTGTAGCACATATTTGCAAGGTTCTGTTATGTTTCATAATTAATATATAAGGGTACTGTTAGAACTCATCCTAATCGTGTTACCAATTTAAATGTTTGTACTATTGGTTACTCTAAACATAACTGTTAGTTGTTCAGTTAGTTCTATCAAGTGCTATGGAAGCAGAAGAGATAAGACTTCCCCGTTAGTTTGTCATTCCTAAAATTTTGCGAATATTTTTTTTTCTTCATCAGATTGTGGCATTCTTGGGAGTGATGGTATACAAATTTTATGGAGACGAACTAAGGGAGATGTTTGGTTATGAGGAGCACCCGTATGGGTTTTATACTATGGCTGGTATGCAAACTTCTCGCTGCCCTCTGAACTCCCTATAAAATATTTATGTTCTCGGTGTAAGACATGCTGATTACACTAATTGCATGCATTATTTTGTTCACTTGTTGCAGTTTTAGCTATTGTTTTGGTGGGTTTGCTTTATGGCTTCTTCATAGCCATAATATGTGGACAGAGAATCAACGAACGGCATTATCATGTTCTTGCCAAACAAGAATTAACAAAGGTCTAGTTTCTGATACTTGGAACTTAATATGAACTAAAACCGTTCGTACTGAATTTTATTGGCATTTAACTAAACTATATCGTTGAGTATTTTCTACACGTAACATGATGTTTCATAGACATAATATGTGGACAGAGGATTACTGTAATTTTTCCAACTGAAAGTTAACTGGTACCTTTGTCCATTTTGGACTCAAGTTTCCTTGATCGTTTTCTTGAAATTCTTGCTTTATATTCATCTTTCCCTTGTCACTTCTAAACGCCAAGACTACCAAAGACAGCTTAGTTTTATTATTAAATTTTATGTTACCCTTCTGGATTCCAAGATTTGTAAACTAGGTGTAATAGTTATTTTGAAGCATTTGTTATATTTCTCCAACTGAATCAAGAATCTTATGATGCCAGGAATATGTTGTAGAAGACCGAGAAGATAATAAGAATGCCCCCGAGCTAGACCCCAGCCATGTGACAGAACTGAGAATGTTGGGCCTTTATTAGTTGGAAGTCTTCTTTCTCTAGATTGCCTCGTCTTGTAAGCAATTTTACATTCTGCAACTGCCTTTTCATATTATCTTTTTACTTTAAAAAATTTGCTTTCTCCTGCTTTCCATCTCACAATGAACCTGCCACCTGGATATGGGATATGGTCCTATTCTGATTGTTTTGTAATTTTATCATTTTGCCTAGGTTAATCTTTTGTGCTTATGTGCACGTGCATATTTGTTTGTATTAACCGGTCTTTAAAAATGACCCAAAATAATGAAAAACTAATAAACCCAGGTTTATCTATCTGCGGACTTGTCTACTTATTAGTTCGGCCTTGCTAGCTCTCAGTTGTATGTTTGTTCCCTTGCATGCCTTGCATGCTCGTTACGTAGAATCTGGGACTTAAAAAGTATTTGATAGATGCATTTTCTGAATTTATGGTTGGCAAGTTTTTTTGTTTCTATAGTCTCTCAGTTTTCACTTTCATTCTCTTCAGGTTTTTGTATGGCTTGTAATTTTCCAAGTGGAAGAATGTAAAATGACATTTTCCTGTTCAGATTCTTGATTAGCCGAATACCACCTTCTCGATTCCTGCAAGTTGTGCTTGCACTACTTTATACTTACTTAAATCCGTGCACTACATATCCCACATGCTTCTTCATGGTCCTGCTTCGCTCTGGCTTTCTCTTTCAGATATGGGATTTGGGGTTCTAACTCAGCAATGAACCTGAAAATGTCTTTTCTCCTCACCAGGTACATGGAACTGGTCAACGAGCATTGTCCTCAATGTCAAACGGAGCTGAAATTACACAATTGGTTTTTTTTTTTTAAATTTGATATACGTGTATCTTCATTTACTTGTGAATTATTCTTAGTCATCAGTATATTTTTACAAATAAAATACTTAGGATTGTCGAGCAGAAAACCGCAGTTTATACTTTTTCTGCTTTCATTGTGCATCCCTTTGTTTTCATTTCATCTTGTTCATCCTGGTTGGACAGTTGTAATTCAATCTCCAGTGTTATGTTAAATTATTTTCTCTTTGCATTTTCCAGGTTTCCTATGATACAAATTGTGAATCATGATTCGTTAATGCGGTGCTGGGATTATCTGCTGGATTTTGAAATGTGAATGAAATGTTCTAACTGTTCTTGTGAATTCTTGCTCGCATTTAACAATTTAAATGCGTATGCATTAGGATCTGGATTCATGGATCACTGGGGTCGATAGATCAAAATAAGATCGAACAATTTCTTTGAGATAGAGGGGGAGAGTTGTTTTAATGAGATCATAAGCTGTTATTGTCTTACTTTAGTGAGATCCAAGTCTCCAAAACCCAAGGAAAATGGCACCCAAGGTAAAAACCAAAAGGCCTAAACCCTGCATGTCTCTGACTAATTGAAAACAAGATCAACTGCCTACTAATTTGAACCAGATGCATTAGGAGGAGCAGCATTCACTTGAGCACAGTTGTTCTTAAGCAACGCGGAGATGGAAGGAAACAACGGGAACAACTTCAGCAAGCATTTCTCGTCAACCTCGACGAAGGCCTTGCAACAAGCAGGGCCTAGTGAAAATTTACTGGTAAAGATTGTGGTAATAATTTCTTGTGCACACCCTGGAATGCTCTGAAGTGAAGACCGACACTTTGCTATCTCAGTCGGGTCCACTGGCGGCCGTAGCCCTGGAATCCCGGGCGGAAATATGCCTGGGATCCCCGGCGGAAATACTCCAGGAGTTCTGGGTGGAAATAGGCCTGGGATCCCAGGTGGCAGTAGGCCTGGGATATTGGGAAAGTTCGGGAGAGGGGGTGGGTGGAATATGCGCAAATCCGGTTGCACCGCAAGTTGCCATTATTAGTAGTAGCGAAAACATTGCCTGAACTTGTCTGGACATGTGCCGGAAAACTTGGCACTCACGTTTGTGCCATATCAGTATCAGAAAACAGGTTAACTATATCAGCTGTGTTGCTGTTGGAGAAGAGATCCAAGGATTTATATGGTGCAGCAAATTTGCTAGATAAACGCTTCATCGATCGTAATAAATAATAATCATTTAATCTTATCTGGCAATGAGAATTTTCGAAAGTATTTCATCAACTTCATCGATTTGTAATAATTTGTTCTTCGCTTTTCCTTTCAGTTTTTTGTTGGGTCTGGTGAAAACATTTTTCTTCAACATAGTAACTTGACACGGGCGGTGGAAAATTACTTAGAGTAAAATAAAAATTACAAGAAACAGTATAATAATAAATCTAATATGTTCTGTATCAAGGGCTACGAAAACTCTACCATACTCAAGGCAAATGGAGGGTCGAGATCTTTTGGTTTCATATATATAGTACAATTAAACCAGAAGAAAATTTTCAGAAGTAGAAGTTTTCTGTGGTTAAGCTGACATTTTCAATAGATGAAAGCAGCTTGTGCTTTCTGAGGCTTTCTGAGGCTTTCTGGGAAGGCCTCAGCTAGATTATTATTACTAAGCAATTTCAAATGAAAGCAGCTTGTGCTTTCGGAGGCTTTGTGGGAAAGCAGCTTTTGCTTTGACTTTCTGATCCCAAAATAGTCACAATCAAATGAAATCACCCGGTAGTTGCTGATGAGATGAGATTGGATGGCTGCAGAAGCAACCAAACCTAGCAGCATCTTAAAATACAAAATAGTCACTTTCATATATATATATATATATATATATATATAAAATATAAATATATAATAAATTATTTTTCTTGTTTAGAAGATTCGGTTTTATGTACTGTCGGAAAAATTGTGGGCCTGCTATCCTTTACTTGCAAATGCACGCTAGTGCTAAGCGTCTAGTCGGAAAAATGGTCTTGATTCTTGTGGTTTGAGTCATTTTCTAGGAAATTTCGTGGATTTTATTGTTAACCCTGAGCTAGATAATTCAAAATCCTGTCGCTGTTACTTGTTCAATTCAGTTACTTGCAGTATAGGCATCTGCAAATTTTTGTGAATATTTATATGTTGCCCCTGACTTATATAACCCCATAGATTTTGGAACCGGGAAAATCAGTTGAGGATGAACGGGTAATAAAAACAATAGAGAGCTAATGGCAGAGAGTGCAGTACAGTTTCTGCTCGACAAGGTTGCACCTCTTTTCGAAAATGATCTGCAACTTTTGGGAGGGGTTAGGGAAGAAATTGTGTATCTGAGAGGGGAACTGGAGCGCATGACCGCGTTTCTGAGGGTTGCTGATGCATTTGAAGAGAGTGATGAGGAAGTCAAAGTATGGGTTAATCAAGTAAGAGACATTGCTCACGATAGTGAAGACGTGCTGGATGAATTTACACTTATCCAGGCACATGATCATGGGACGGGGTTATATGGTTCCATCCATCGGTTTTCGTGTTGTATTAAGAACATGAAAGCTCAATACCGAGTTGCTGCTGAGTTACAAGACATCAACAAGAGAATCAGAAAAATCTCGGAGGTTCATAGGAGGCTCCGTCACAAGTTTATGGCTGAACAAGGGTCAGGCTCTTCAACTGCAGGTCAAATGTGGGATGACCATCGTGGTGATGCTCTACTTTTAGAGAAAACTGATATAGTTGGCATTGACGAGCCTATAAAACAGATGGTAGGGTGGCTTGTTAACGGTGGTTCTGGACGAGAAGTAGTTTCTGTGGCTGGCATGGGAGGACTAGGGAAGACAACCCTGGCGAAGCAAGTCTATGATGCAGCAGAAGTGAAGAAGCATTTCAAAGTAAGTGCTTGGATCACGGTTACTCAGTCGTTCAAGCTTGGGGATCTCCTCGAAGACATGATTCAACAACTCCACAAAGCCATCCGAAGGCCAGCTCCGCAAGGAACCAACAACATGAACAACAATCAGCTGAAAACAATAATCAAGGACTTCCTGCAGAAAAGGAGGTACCTAATTGTTCTCGATGATGTGTGGCACTTGTACGTATGGGACTCTCTGAAGTATGCGTTGCCTAACAATACTTGTGGCGGCCGAGTCATACTAACTACTCGAAAAGCTGATGTAGCCTCAACAACCAGCAAAGAATCTGGAGGTAGAGTCTTTAATTTGAAGCCCTTGCCGCTGTTGGAGTCATGGGAGCTTCTATGCAAGAAGACATTCCAAGGGAACTCATGCCCTCCTTATTTAGAGGATATCGGTAATTCTATCTTAAGAAAGTGCGAGGGGCTGCCCCTCGCGATTGTGGCAGTCAGCGGTGTTTTGGCCACCAAAGACAAGCGGAGGATCGACCAGTGGGATATGGTTGGCCATAGCCTTGGTGCTGAAATGGAGGGCAATGACAAACTCAAGGACTTGAAAAAAGTACTTTCACTCAGCTTTAATGACTTGCCTTACCATCTCAAGTCATGCTTCTTGTACCTGAGCATCTTTCCCGAGGATCATCTAATCGAGCATATGAGACTTGTTCGGCTGTGGATGGCAGAGGGTTTTATTGAAGCAAAACAAGGCAAAACACTAGAAGATGTTGCAGAGGACTACCTCAATGAACTGTTGAATAGAAGCATGATTCAAGCAGCAGAGACAACATCCGATGGAAGGGTCAAAAGCTTTCGTGTCCATGATCTTCTCCGAGAGATTATCACCTCTAAGATAAGAGATCAGAACTTTGCCACAATAGCTAAAGAGCAAAACATACCATGGCCTGATAAAGTCCGACGCCTGTCAATGCATAATTCTTTGCAATACGTACAGAAAAACAGGTGCGCTTCTCAACTACGTTCTCTGTTTATGTTTGGAGTTACCGAGAAGCCAGTGCTGCATACAATTTTTCCTGGAGGTTTTAAGCTTCTTAACGTGTTAGATTTGCAAGGTGCACCTCTAAATGCTTTTCCAGTTGAAGTTGTCAACCTTTTCTTTTTGAAGTATCTAAGCTTGAAAGGTACGAGGGTGAAAACCATTCCGAGATTTATAGGGAAGCTTCAGAACCTGGAGACTTTGGATCTGAAGCATTCTCTGGTCACTGAACTCCCGGTTGAAATTTTAAAGCTTCAACATCTACGTCATCTTTTAGTATATCGTTATGAATTTGTACCATATGGAGATTTTCACTCAAAATATGGCTTTAAGGTGCTTGCAAAAATAGGGGCTCTAACTTGCCTTCAAAAGCTTTGTTTCATCAAGGCAAACCAAGATGGAGGTGCCATATTAAGAGAGCTGGGGAAACTAATTCAGTTGAGACGGTTAGGCATTGTACATATGAGGAAGCAAGACGGAAAGTCTCTTTGTTCATCCCTCGAAAAGCTGACCAAACTTTGCGCGTTGTCCATAACTTCGGTAGAAGAGGATGAGATCATTGACCTGCAGCACATTTCTTCTCCTCCTCTACTACTTCAGCGCCTATACTTGCGTGGACGATTGGAAACATTGCCTCACTGGATACCTTCTCTGCACAGCCTTGTTAGATTATATCTGAAATGGAGTAGGTTAAGGGACAATCCGCTTGTATTCATTCAGTATCTGCCGAACCTGGTACATCTCGAATTATCTCAGGTGTTTGAAGGAGACACATTGTGTTTCGGAGCTGGAGGATTTAAGAAGCTAAAACATTTAGGCATTGATGAATTTGATGAACTTAGATGTATAGAGGTGCAGGTGGGAGCAATGCCGTCCCTGCAAAAGCTAAGTATCCAGCGATGTATATCGTTAGAGAAGGTGCCATCCGGGATTGAACACCTGAAGAAGCTGAAGGTGCTTGAGTTCTTTGATATGCCGGAAAAGTTAATCAAGACGCTGAGTCCACATGAACAAGGCAACGATTATGGGAAGGTTGCGCATATCCCAGAAGTTTATTTCACCTACTTGAGAGAGTCAGGGTGGGAGGTCTACCCTTTGGAGGGTCTGAATGAAGGAGAAAATTTTCATCAAACCACTTCTCTCATGAAGAGCCACGAACTCGAAACTCGTTGGAAGTAATGTTTTTACTTCACTTGATCCGTTTGATATTATTAAGGAGATGCTGTGTATTGTAAATTACTGTAAAAACTCTTGTAAATAGTTGTAAATTGTAATAATAATCTTGAACAGTTTGATATTTATGTATGTTTGTAAACTGTCAAGTGAAATACAGAAGCGTTCGTATCTTCTTCTTCAAGCTTTCGTTTCTTTCGAGCTTTTCTCATCTTCTTTGAGTTTGATTTTCTGGGAATCTTACTGATTGAGTAGAACAAGTAATTTGGTAGTTTTATAGAACACACGAATACTCTCCCGTGATCATCTCATCGTTTCAACAACGCACAACGGGGTATCAGGTATGAGATATGAAAGGGGAACCCCGATTCCTTAGGTGTTCCCACTATTCATAAGATATGTTTTACCTGATGGCTGTGAGATCGCACTTGGTACAAACTTGACAACAAGGTTCTCACTTAAAAACTAATCAAGCAGAGGCCATTTCCACAAATTATGAGGCCATTTCCACAAATTCTCACATAATGATCAGTTCACTATTGAATTTATATACCGAGAAATTGTAATTTTTCCATCGTAACTTAAAAGAGAGAAACTTGCAGCTTAGTTGGTAATTAACATTCACTTTTGCACCTGATGTGGAGTTTTATTACACCCTTTCCCACCATAAGAGAGTTATTTTGATGAGACCATAAGCTGGTTATTCTCTTATGAATAATAATTGGCTACTCAAAGGATGAGTAGGAGTTACTACTTAAAATTGCTCGTTGCCTATTCATAGAAGTTCGAGTTTATGATCATAACATTTCATAATATAAATCACAAATATCGCCTCTGCAAAAAAAAAATCAATTAAAGTTAAGTTCATTAGTTATCGAACTGCATAAAAACAAATGAACTGAATTGGTAAAAGCATCACTGACCGTCTATGCATTGGCTACAATAGATTGATTAAACCACCTTAGTTTTAATTCTTTTTTTATTTTTTCTTTTGCAGAGATGATATTTTGATTCATAATATGAATGGTTCTGCTCATAAGCACAAAACTCTGATTCGGACACAAAGATTTTTAGTAGTAGTTCCTACTCATCTTTGAGTAACCAAACATCTTCTCTTATTATATCCATCACAATCCTGAAGCCTCCAAAACGTACCAACTTAATGGCAACCAAAGTAAACAAAAGAAAAACCCTTCATGACTATGCTTAACTGAAGCAAGATCTACTTATTTCCTGCAAAAATTATCATCTCAACCGCCTACTACTGCTTTGATCTAGCTGCTTTAGGAGCAGCAGCAGTAGTACAGCTGCTCTTGAGCACTGCAGGAATGGATGGAAACAACGGGAACAACTTCCGCAAGCAATTCTCATCAACTTCGACCAAGGCCTTGCAACAAGCAGGGCCTAGAGCAAATTTACCAGTCAAGATTGTGGGATAAATTTCCGATGCACACCCTGGAACGTTCTGAAGTGAAGACCAGCACTTGGCTATCTCACCTGGGGTTCTAGGCGAAGATAGCCCTGGAATCCCAGGAGGGAATAGGCCTGGGATGGTCGAGAAGGGCGGTGGTGGCGCATCTGCCAGCCCGGTTGCTGCACATGTTGCCAATAGGAGAAGTGAAAGTAATGCTTGAGCTTGTCTAGACATGGCTATATGGAAGCTTGGAACTTCTCTTTTCTGCTATATCAGAAAAAGGGTTTGTTAGATTGGTGTGTTGATACTGGAGTAGAGTCTGGTAAGGATTTATATAGAAATGCTGGGGCAGTAGGTTACAAATGGAACGGAGTTTTCTATAGTTTTAATGCAGTTTTATGTTTCTGGACCATATAGTGGTAGGTAAGTACCATGAAGGAGAAACTCTACTTTACATCATAGCTTTCGTTGACATAAAACCCTTACTTCGATGTGGGACGGGTACTTGGTCATGAGAAATGGCATCCTATAAAATGTTAGGGCTGCAGTCTCAGCTGATGGGCAACACTAGAATTCCATCATTATATAGAAATTATATAATATTGGACACATCGACTCAAAGTATTAAGTATATGGTACACATTGGTGTGCCCTCAAAATATAAAATGTGTATTACGCACACCAACTATGTTTCCTATGTATTGGGCAGGCCATTGAATTAAAATATGTCAATTTGGAAACAGCCTACCAACTACTAACAAGCAATCTACGCAGTCACAAACATAAGCTAAGCCCCCTTTTTGAATGGAATACGAGTATACGACCACATCAAACATTAAACAATTGAAACAAAACTTTGTCAAAACACCTACCTGTATTCCTTCTTAAACCCTTTTCCTCCGTTGGAGAGAGCGACGACGGTCACAAAAAAGAAAAGAAAAATGTAATTCACAACTCAAAACACGTAGTAACTTGGAAAAAGAGAGGGTTGAAAAATATCGATGAACAAAAGGTTGATGTACCTCTTAAGTATATTTACATGGACATCCTGATAAAACTTGAATTGAGCAAATTAACCATGCGGGCATAGGTACAAATAACACACAATTCAACTGAAAACAAACTACAATGATCAACTATACATACTTGATGAATAATTACATGCAACTCCTTTTCAGTTGTAATCTTGAACTTGGATAGAAGTCACTCTACCTCGCTAACCAGTTTGCATCTGTAGAGCTCTTGACCTTGACGAAATGCCTTTCATCAATGTATCTATTGCAGTCCTACATAACAATTTACATGACTAGATGAGCCTGCGTATCCCAGCAACCAAGGCATAATTAGCTTGCAAGCAATAGTAGAATTCATGGAACCGATCTGCTTATCAGGAAAGCAAAAGCAATACTACAACATAGAAAGCAGTAATCATTCGAAACCAGATTGAAGTCTTTTATCAGCCCCCATGGCATCAACTCATTTCAGGTTAAAATCACCATTATACCAAAAGATCAAGTTTGGAACTCCCCAAATCCAACTTTTGTCACATATAGGCATATGAATTCAACTATTAATGATTTATTAGAATCCACATTAAGAGCCTATACAAACCTCTCCTAAAATTTTAACAAAGGCCGGTGAATTAACCACAGCCCTCAACGCCAGCTTTTAAGCAGGATGAACAAGGTCAAAACAGATGTTACCAGCACACACTGTAATCCATTATGCTCCATAGATCAACCTAATTAGTATTCAGAACCATATTTTCAACTTTGGGAAAGATGAAAGCATTTCTCTTCGGTCTTTGAATATGAAGCAGCTAAACTTCAGTAATCTTGAACTTCCACAAAAAGCCTATGTTAGTCCAGTTTACCCCCAAATTAGTTTGATTATTTGTTGGTAAAACCATTAAATTCCAACGGATGAAACCCAACATAAGAGCATTGAGTTTTACTAATTAAGTAAACAAATTTCTTGTCATCAATACAGAACTCAGCCAACTGTTATTAAAGCTTACCTCAGATGCCACTGATGAGAACTACATGGTTCATCCCTCCTCATCCTCGGACTTGGACACATTGTTAGAAATTTGATCCGCGGTCTCCATCGGTTGGGGATTGGACACATCATCAGAACTCTGAAACACAACCACAGGCTCCATCAGTTGTGGAGATGTACCTACAAAGAAAAGGAAGGCATAGAATAAGCAACAATTGTAAGAGAACCATCCATTATACACAAGATTTCAATACTTTCTATCACAAAGGTTTTTAATCCCTCCAATGCCCCCAAAAAAAATACATTTTTTTTTAAAAAAAAGCCAGACTAATTCCTTTATCTTAATCATTCCAGCAACTTTTCATCATAAAACAAAAAAAGATCAATGCCTCAAAATATGATCGATCCGTTAACGTTTTCAATTTTCGATTTTTGATTTTCGATATTCCAATTCTCACCTAAAGAGAGAAAATTACACAATTCAGAAACAAACCCAGATGCAGAAACGAATTAGATGATCCAATTAAATCAACCACAATACACAATTCAATCCAATCTCAATTGATTGAAGGATAAAAACCCAATTTTGAACAAAACCCAATTTTGAACAGAACCCAATTAATAAAATCGAAAAAAGGAAGCAAACCTTCGATAAAATAAGCAGAAGAAGGCCACCCTCTAACGGTGCTCATAGACATGGTCTCCTCCTCACTCAAAGGGTTGGCCAACTTATCGACCAGCTGAGCCAGGCCGTGCGATCTCGACCGTGGAGGAGGGACCCAGTAGGAGGCGCCGGGCAAAAAGGGGAGCCAATCGGGCGCGGATCGGCGGACGATGATCCGGTGGATGGCGTCCTCGAGCTTGCGCAGAAGGGGATCAGAAGGCGAGTCGGCGGAGGAGTCGGTTGGTGGATCATGGTGAAAAGGGAGGGTGGATTGGGCGCGCAGGGTTATGAGGCGGGAGGAGGACGGCGATGATTTGGGCGAGAGGTGGCGGGTTAGGGTAAGGGTTTGAGAAATTGACGACCTTGCCATTGATGATGGAATTGCTAGAGAGAGAGAGAGAGATGGGAGATTTTGAGGGGGTGTTTGGATAAGAGGAAAATAAAGAGAGAAAATTTAGGTGCGTTTGTGTTTGTGTTTGTGTGTAAATGCGAGAAAGAGAGAGTGGTAGTGTAGATGGTGCGAGAGAGTGGAGGTGAATTCTTTGTCATTTTATTTTTTTTGTTTATTTTATTGACGAGTTGGTCAACCTAGAACACCCAAGACTTCATTATTATTATTATTGTTTTTTTTTTGTTCACGCATTCAGATGAAACCGGATTCCTTCCAGATCCAATAAATCTGAGCTTGCTGAGCAAGTGATCCGGACCGTTGAAATTTGATCCAATGGCTACAAACAGGGACCTCTCTAAAAGTTATAATAATTGTAACTGTTGGATCAAATTTCAACGGCCTAAATTGTTTGCTCAGTAGGCTGAGTATATATGGATCCGGAGGGGATTCGGTTCCCATTCAGATAGCAAAAAATAATGGAACTTTAGATTTGAATGAAATTTTTTAATGATGTTTGGAGTAAAATAATACACGGATATTCTATTCTATACAATTTGAAGGAAAAAATAAAATAAAGAGTAGTGTTTGAAAATCAATATGCTTCTTCTATCCCTCACTCCTTCACTGTCACATTTAGGTGTAGATGTTTTCGATCAGATTTTTGCCATATGGTGTTGATTTTAGTCCAACACAACCATTTTACTCGTCTATGCAATTGTCTCAAATCTCAATTGTCTTATGGTATTCGTGCGTCTTCCACTTTAGGCTAGCGTTTTACGACGGTGTCTTGCTCAATATGATTGACGGTGGTACTACAATGTTAAAGAATAGGCTTTGAAGATCTATGTGAATCTAAAGACTTGTGAGTTTTAACAAGTTTAGCTTTCATATAAACTCCAGTTTAATTTGTTGTGCGTTTTGAAGTCTTTCTATGAGAGTTTTTGGTTTGCTTTCGGCACGCTGCCATTGTATGTCATTAGAGGTAATCAAATTGTATTGGATGTTCGAGTAGGTGGAGTTTTAGTGGTTGACTCAAATTGTATCATATTTGCTCTTTTTTGCTATTGTATTCTTAAGCATTGTAGGATCACTAAGATTTTAAGCATTTTGACAACAAAAATAGACTAATTGAAACTAATCCATCCGAATGTAGCCCTCTCCAATTGGAGTTGGATGGTTTCAGTTCTTTACCCTCAACTTTATATTCAACTAATCAAGATGCAAGAAAACACAAAATCAAAGATGAAACTATCATGTCAAATCTAAGATCTTACCATGAAAACAAAAATCAATCATAGATCGGAGCATGATGCATTGTTAAATCAGCATCTTACAATAACCTAAGGACTTCGTTAACCAAAAAAAAAAAAACAACGTAAGGACTTTTATTCCCACACCCGCACCTGCTTGCACGTATACTAAATTAGTACTTGTTTGTATCATACTTGACCAATCCCGAAATTACTAAGTACCGGACAACTTCATACCTTCAAGGACCCACTGAGGGGTTCATGCTAAGGCACCCCTACCGAAACACAAGTGTTTCCTTCTAACTAGAGGGCCAGTCATAGAACGACACATGCCAACGTCAAAATAAAGCTCCTAGAGTCCCATATCGATCGCGGATGAAAGCTAGAGACTCTTCTCAACTATAAAAGTAGATCATTCTCCTGCAATTAATCCCTAATGTCATTATTGTCCTTAAACGTGTCATTAGAACCCACTAACGATGATTATGTTTGAACCTATGTATTGTGTAACCTCTTCACGATTAATGAGAACTCATCTACCCCTTGGACGTAACCAAACTTAGTGTGAACCACGCAAATCTTGTGTTTGTTTCCCTACCTCTATCTGTTTACGTATTATTATTAATAGGTGACAGGAGCAACCGAGCGAAGATCACAAACTCGACCCTTTACATTAGTCCAAAGTCTTGCTGACTTTGTGCCTCAACAATACTCAATCACAATATTATAACCAATATTGGCTACAAATGCAACACATAGTACCTGAAAAGCATATGTAAAACCTTTGCAACCCCTTCTCGCTCTCTGCCCCCTCTTGTTTGCCTTCCCTTCTTCTTCCTCTTCATCATCTCCGTTCACATATATATCCCTCATCCATTCTTCATCTCCTAAAAGAGCTAAAGAGAGGATATCTTGAAGTTGTTCAAACGTT